ATCACATCCTGTTTTTCTGTATCTCTGTGTTTAGCTGCTGGTGATGTAGACATGCTGCTTCCTGCATGGCTTCTTGCACACTGACTTCCTGCATAACTGACTGCTCTGAAACAGCAGAGCTGAATCCTGCCTGTTAATTGCAGTTATTTTAGCCCAGCTTCTGCTTAGAGTGCCTGCCTGTTCAGGTAAAAACAAATAGAGAAATTAGGTTTTTCATTGGCTAAGCAGAATGAGGAAACCTGTGTTCAATCATGAAAGGAGTTATTGTAAATAAGTACCTTTCACTCTCAGTGTCTTCCTCACGTGCTTATGCTTTGTGTGGCTCTGCACTGCCATCTCCTGACAGCATAAAGTAATTGCACCCAAGACATGCTAAAGATATGTTAGAGCAGGGGTCTCCCACTCTGGTCCTAGAGAGCTACTATCCAGTAGGTTTTCTGTCCCACTTGGCTTCTGATGAGCCACACCTGTTCCTGGTATTTACCTAAGAACAGGTGTGGTTCATCAGAAGCCGGGTATGACAGAAAACCTACTGGACGGTAGCTCTCCAGGACCGAAGTTGGACACCCCTGTTGTTAGAGAATTTCCACAGCAATATGGCATGTTCGTGTTCATTATAACCACATTCACGGTGCCTCCTGCTTACAGGCTTGATCTTAGCACATTGTAATAAGTCTTCAGTCAAACTGAGACAAATCTATAACATTCATGGTAACTGATTTTGTGTTTCTCTCCCAAAGCACCTGCTGAAGTAAGAATTGTATTGTTGGGAAAAACTGGATCTGGGAAGAGCAGCGCAGGAAATGTTATCCTGGGGGAAGAAAAGTTTGAAGTTTTCTCTAATCCTAACAGTGTAACAATAGATTGTAAAACAGAAGAAGGAAACATTAATAAGATGAAAATTACAGTAACTGACACACCAGGGATCTTTGACACTGACAAAAACAGGTCTGATAAAGATCTGAGGGATTCCATAATATCCTGTCTTACTGAATGTGCTCCTGGTCCACATGCCTTCATCTTAGTGCTGAAAGTGGGAAGATACACCAAAGATGAGGAAGAGTCAGTAAAAATGATACTGGAGTACTTTGGGGAGGAAGCCCTGAAACACACAGTTGTCCTCTTCACACATGGTGACGAGCTTGACAAAAACCAGACCATTAAACAGTTTGTAGAGAAGAACAAGGATCTGAAGGAACTTGTTCGTAAGTGTGGAGGCCGAGTTCATGTCGTTGATTCTAAGTACTGGAAAGATGAGAACCTTGGCCAGGAGTACAGGAGCAACAGCTTTCAGATTAAACAGTTGCTGACACCTATAGACAACATGGTGAGAGACAACAGAGGCAGTCATTACACAAATAAATCACTCCAGGTAATAGCAAAAAGTATAAAAATGGAGGTGAAAAAGATAAAAGAAGAGATGGAGGAGAGAGGAGAGAAAGTAGAGGAGTCTGAGATCAGGAGACGAGCAAGACAGAGAGTGAGGACCAAGACTCTGAGATTAGTGGCAGGAGTTACTACTGGGGCTTTACTGGGGGGTCTGCTGGGTGTGGCTGTAGGATTATCACTGCCAGCTGTATTGGCAGCTGGGCTCCTGGTGGGAGCGGTAGCCAGAGGTTATGGAAAATTTGTAGCTGAGTCAGCAGGTGCAGCATGTAGAAGTGCTATGGTAGTTGGGGCATTAGGGGCAACAGGAGCAGCAGCGGCAGAAGCTGGGGCAGTTGGGGCATTAGGGGCAACAGGAGCAGCAGCGGCAGAAGCTGGGGCAGTTGGGGCATTAGGGACAACAGGAGCAGCAGCGGCAGAAGCTGGGGCAGTTGGGGCATTAGGGACAACAGGAGCAGCAGCGGCAGAAGCTGGGGCAGTTGGGG